TGCTATGCCGAAAATTGGATACTTAAAGAAAGTGTAACGTCTTCTAAGAGCATGGATGAGTGAAATAAAATCATTTTTACTAGTGATAAATTAAAAATAGCTTTGATTAGTAAAAGTTTATGTCGCAGTCTTTACGAAATGCAAGTTTTTAAAACTACCTAAAATTATAGTTAATACAATTTACGTATTCAGTTGGGTTTCCGAAATCATTCCGAAGACAAATCAATTTAAAAATTTTTATAATAAACTTCATTAAGAAAGTATTCTTGCACGAAAATCAATAAGATTCAGGTAAATTTCGGCGCGAAAATTCATTGCATAAAAATTTTAGGTGGTTTGTGATTTGCACATCACCCAAAATTATTAACCAAATTTCAGAACACAATAAACTTGATTATCTCAAAATCATATTTTTTCGACTAGCATGGATGAGTGAAATAACAGCGTTTTCCACTAGCTATAAATTAAAAATAGCTTGGATTAGTAAAAGTTTATGTTGCAGTTGTTATGAAATGCAGGCTTTTAAAACTACCTATAACTATAGTTGATACAATTTACGTATTTAGTTTGATTTTTGAAGCCTTTTCAAAGACAAACCAATTTAAAAATTTTTATAATAAATCTCTAAGAAAATATTCTTTTGCAAACTGCCCCTGAAAATCAATAAATTTTGGCGCGAAATCAACAATATTTGGATAAATTTCGGCGCGAAAATACCCCGATTTATTAATAATAAACAAATTTTCAGAACATGATAAACTTGATTATCTCAAAATCATATCTTTTAATTGTATCTTTTATTCAGCTAATAATTATAACGATCTTATTTTAATTAATGTTCATTGATGATTTTGGTAGTTATGCCAGGCGAATTAAGTTTAACAACTGTATATAAATGGGTTCTTCTTGAAATAAATCAAGTGCAAATACATATTATGAATGCTGATGAAATACGTTTCATTAAGGTTGAGTATATATGCTTTCAATTACGCATTATACAGTATGTTGCTGAATTAGCATTTAGGCGGTACTTATATTACAATAGATCAATGCAAAAAAATATTAGAAACTGAAAATATCACTATTTCGCTTTTGTCACATGATATGCATGGAGGATTTTATATTACAGCATTATCATAATTCCTGGAACACCTGATAAAAAATTAGCCGGATGATTTGTCGGCCGATTTATGATTTCGGCCTAATTGATACACGTATGTACGTACGTAAATTTACATATCGATATATAATTTAAGATCAGGTATGTAACTAATATAAATATTATACCGATACGAATATCTCAGGTCAAATATAGAAATATAAGCTTTTGAATCATCTTCGCTGGCGAATAATTGAAAAAGATTTAGAACTTATCATTTCGGAAATTGCAAAATATTTAGATGTTAGCATGTCTCTGCAATACAATTTAATAAATATTAATAAAATCATGATTTTTTGAACAGAATCTTAAGTCTCATCTTTAAACCAGTCGACAAATTCTTGACCATGTCCAACTTATTATATTTGTTTTTAGCTTATAATATTTGTCCTTGAATTCTGCGCCTTCCTTTTTCATATTTACAACCGCATCATTTAACGATTGATTTTTTTACAATTAACAGAAAGTCTAGGACTTTCAAACTGATCTTTAAACTTATCGCAAGATTCACATTGCAGGAGCGAACCTTGTATTTCATGACTTTTCTCGATTACTTTATCGATATCGTTAACTAAAGAAGACACTTGTAAAAAAAACAAAAAAAGTTAGTACCTATTTTTTTTAAAAAAAAACAAAAACACAAAACAAAATAAATCTATCTCATAGTCTGAAACAAAAAAAAATGAGCGCCGGCAAAAAAAAATAAAAACCGTTAAAAATAACGTTACTAACTAAGTTAATAAAGATAGTTACTAAATAAAAAATAAAAAATAATTTACAAACTATCTTTATTGAAGTAGTTGAAAAAAATATGCTTCAGACTAGCTAGCATATTTTTTAATCATAGATAGAAAAGTAAAAAAAAAAACAAAAAAAAAATACGTACTAACTTTCAATAGCATAGCAGACAATCGAATGATTGGCTGTTGACTGTCGATCACCACGTGATTAGATCAACAGAAAAATCTAAGATGATTGGCCGTTGCTTATTTAATAAAATTTATTACCCGTTATATGTTAAAGAATTACTGAATTATTATGACATTTCTTGCCGCCTTTAATAATATTATTACGACATTTAGTTAGCGAAATTTAATTTTCATATTTGTCGTAATAATTGCTAAATTTTTTTTTAACTCTATCAAATACAAAAATACATTATATAATCGGGAAAATCTTATAAGAAATGTAATAAGAAATGTAGCAATAATGAAATATTTGCCAAAAAATAATAATAAAAAAAAAATTTTAGAAAAAAAGTTTAGATACGCATCTATATTTATTGCAAACCATATACATTTTGCTTTATTGATATATTAAAAATACATTAAATATAATTAGGCTTTTAAAAATTTATCCAAAGCTATATTACAAGCCTCTTCGACCCTATTTAATACACTTCCATCCTTTTCCAACTGTGTAAGGATATCATCTTCTGAAGACAAATTTTTTGCATCAGTATCTTTTGTCTTCTTTCGACCTTTAGATTCTTGATCACCTTCTACAAGATCCTTGACATCCTGTTTTGTTAGTCGTGTGATTAAAGAAGAAATGTTTAGTTGAACGCCTTGTTCAAGAAAAATTTGACAATAAAAACATTTTTGAAAAAACATATTAAGACAATGTTCATGATTTAAAGATTTTAATAAATCAAATTTAATAATGTAAAATGCAATAGGCAACTTCTTAAATAGAGATTGAACTAAATAATGCATTTGTATTAAGAAGTCATAGAAATCTAATGAATATATATGAAGAATCACCTGCATATTTGAATAAATTGTTAAAATTAGACAAAATGATGTATTTGTATTAAAAAAGTAATAAAAAATTATTATTTAACAATAAATTATATAACGTATTTACTCGAAATAACGCGCAGAGATGAAATTACAAATTTTGGTCTAAATTAAGCTTAATTTGGGCTATTATTCTAAATAACGCCCCTGTGCGTTATTTCGCATAAATACAGTATAGATTTGAATAAATTATTAAAAATTGAACTAGATAGCATATTTGCATTAAAAAGTTATAACAAAACTTTGTCACTTAACAAAGAATCACTTGTAGATCTAAATAAATTGTTAGAAATTGAATTAAATAATACATTTGCATTAAGAAGCTGTGCAACAACTTATTGCCTAATAAGCATATACAAAATTACTTACAAAATTGAATAAATTATTAGAGATTAAACCAAATGCTGCATTTGTAGTAAGAAATTATAAATAATTTATTATCTAACAAAGAGTCACTTTCAGATTTGAATAAATCATTAGAGATTAGACTAAATAGTACATTCACATTAAGAAGCTATAGAAAAAATTTATAATATGTGAATTTATCTTTTAAACTATATTTCAGGCAAATTTGCCTGAAAAATTTAATTGTTTTTTTTCCAATTCGGCTGTCCTGCCCTTGTTTATTTGGGATCAAGTTATTCAAAATTTCAAGTAAAATTACCCGTCCTTTATCTCTAACTACAGTAGATCTAACCAAAAGAAGAACTCACCCACATGATTTTATATATCAGGTGCGACCTGCCTCAGTAGCTCTTGGCCTCCCTCAGGGTTCTTAACTCACTAAGGACTTTTTTCCTGTTGTTCATCGGCTGGCGGCTACCCGCTCATCAAGAAGCAAAATCAGAAAA